TTTGCCTAGGGAAGACCATAGTTTACCTCGTTTTGACTCAGAATATCTGGCCCGAAGTCTATCAATTCATCTCTCTCGAGTTTCATGCTCCCATTTGAACTCTATGTACAGGTGTTGAACCGTGTAGCAGACTCATAACGGAAAGAGAGCTAAGAAACATCCGTTATGGATAATGTAAGTAGCTATTCTACAGTTGTCCATTTCGACAATGCAGCCATGTAACGCGTCCATTTACCATTGCTCCAAGACGATACCTTCATCCAAGCTTCATCCGGGCTGTCGTAGCGTAAAGCTAGCAAAAGACCTCCCAATGTACAGTCTGACAAAGATAGATTCGATCCCGTGAATAATTCACCTGCGCCACTTCTTGTTCGCATAAATGTTGCAAGCAGGTCAAGCGCGCGTTCAATTTTCTTCCAGTGTTCCTCGCGTTCTTTGCCCTTGAGCTCTATATCTTCAAGTTTCTTCCCAAATGCCGCTTCGGTACGCTGACGGAAGTGGATGCGATCTCGTGGGGTCTTCTTGTCGTACATGTGCATGACCATAACGGGTAGCAACTGTGTTGTGATGGACTGAGCAACGTGATACTCGAAGAGGGCATGGAGGGCGCGGCTGGCAGGCGGACAGAGTGCACGGGAAGAATCGGGGTCTGGGTATGTGCGCTCTAGGTACTCGATTATGGGAGTCGAATCTGAGAGGAAAGCAGGAGGGGTGAAGGTATTATCAATTAGTGCTGGGAGAGTGTATTTTGGTGTCCCGTCTGGGGACACGCTTGTAGGTGGTATTCCGAGCGATTTGCAAACAGATTCGATGTCAGTCGTTTCGACCCATTTTGTTTCGTAGGTGAGTTCCTTGTAGTTGAGCGTGAGTCTGTGCGAAGTGCTAAAGATGAAGCAGTAGTGAGAGTGGTTGACTACTGGTATGACTGACCTGACTTTCCATGTGTTTGGTGAAGTAGGCACTGGAAGAACGGTTACAATGTCCAGGAAAATGATTTTTGTTACTGCCATTCTGTAGTTAATGGTTCTTCGAACAAGTATATAAACCCTACGGCGACGATTACAGACGACTCGTTACTTGTGAGAAACCTGCACGCGTCTCCTGCAGGGGTAAATTGTATTATGTAAATTTTAGGTTGAGACTTAAACTCACCCAGCTTCAAGAAGAGAGATATTCCCGCGATTGATCTAGCTCAAATTTTCGTATACAAGGTCTCTGTCTGACAGTAGTTTGATAATAATAATGGCGACACTTCTTCCTCCTCCGAAAAGACCAAAATTATATCACGGTGTCGCAGAGCCCGAGCCTGAGCCTCAGAAAGCATCGCCCAATGTCGTAGTTCAATTTGTGAACGAACATGACGGCACACCGATAGCACCTGCTGTGAACCTCCCAGCAAACGTTGCACGCGAAGGGCTTGAAGTACTCGTCAATCAATTACGCACAAAAGTTAGGCACTTGCGCTCTGTCTTCGGTCTACTAATGATTTTGGCGATCCAGGACGATGATGAGCATGTACCATTTGCTTTTCATGTTGTTCTACCCGAGGAGGCAACGAAACCAAATGCCCCAACGCGAATCGTGATATCAAAATCAATAGAAGTGGACGTTCTAGCACATGCATCACATGCATTCTCAGAAGAAGACGTCCTGGTAGTAAGCTGCGCTCCACAGTCTGTATTCAAAGTTCGCCCAGCTACTAGATGTTCTGCCACACTTTCAGGTCTGTTAATTGCTCACTGCGTCGCATCAATAATTGTTAATGTAATCGCGGAATCAGGACATTCCTCACCGATATTATGCGCTTCATTCTCCCCTACCGGCAATTTACTTGCAACTGGTTCGGGTGACACGCATGTGCGCCTATGGGATCTTTATACTGAAACACCGTCGCACACGTTGGCCGGCCATACTGGGTGGGTACTGTGCGTGGAGTGGGATCCACTAGAACGTAAATTGGCAAGTGGTGGACACGATGGCCATGTAAGGCTATGGGATCCTAAGACTGGAAAACCGATGGGCGATGCAATGAAAGGTCATTCAAAATGGGTGACGTCCTTGGCATGGGAGCCCCTCCACTTGTGCGTTATTGTCTATGGTATCTCTCAAAGTGATTTACTTCTGGCCTACCAGAAATCCATCTACCCCACGGTTGGCATCCTCGTCTAAGGACGGAACTGTCCGAGTATGGTCGACAGCCACACGAAAACTAGAATACGCACTTGGGGGTCACACTGCCAGCGTAAACGTTATCAAGTGGGGAGGCGGTGGTTTAAATGGTCATGGAATACTCTACACGGCTAGTAGTGACCGTACAGTCAGAGTATGGGACGCACGAGGGGTAGGTATATCCTTTCATCTCCACCGCGCAATAATTTAATGCTGTTTTTCCAGGGAAAACAACTTCATATTCTGAAAGACCATGCACATTGGGTCACCACTCTTGCTCTCAATACGGATTTCGTACTTCGTACTGGACCATTCGATCACACCGGGAAGCGTCCATTATCGGACGAGGAAGGTAAATCCTCAACTGCGCGAGTTATCTTCCGTTAGATTCTCAGTTAATATCAAATATCAGCTCAAGCACTTGCTCTCAAAAGATACACCGCACTGGTATCACGAACGCCAGAACTACTGATCTCAGGTTCAGACGATCACACACTCTTCCTTTGGTCTTTATTCGCATCGTCGAACGCGGAACCGGGAGGGGGTAAGACTAAACCCTTGACCCGTTTAACCGGTCACCAACGGCAAGTATCTCACGTCGCTTTCTCCCCCGATGGTCGGTGGGCAGCTAGTGCTGGGTGGGATAGTGCAGTGCGACTATGGGATTGCTCAGGTACGTTAGATGGTTGTTGTATATCTGATGACAACTTGGTTCAAAATTTTCCGTCACCTCGCAGGTGCTGGGCAGCTGGGCAAGTTTGTAGCTACACTGCGCGGTCATGTTGGCCCCGTTTACAGACTTGCGTGGAGTGCAGATTCGCGAATGCTAGTAAGCGCCAGCAAGGACGCAACTGTCAAAGTAAGTTTGACGTGCACGCGAGCGAGGTATTCGTTTGATGGATGTGCTGTTGCATCAGATTTGGGACCTCAAAACGTACAAAATTAAGTCGGACCTTCCTGGTCATACAGACGAGGTCTACTGCGTGGATTTCGTTGCTGACAAAGTTGTCAGCGGAGGCCGCGATCGGACTGTGAAAATGTAAGTTGATGCACCGTCTTGATGCATTTCGGTGTTGACGTTACTTTGTAGATGGAAGAATTAGCTACAAAACTGTAATTTGAGGAGGGTTACTCTGACTTCTCAGTACGTCAAACCCACATACACACATAGGCAACCAATGGGCAGGGCAACCCGTAAATGCTTTGGTGCTTTGCGACAACCACGTAGCTGCACGTGGACTGGTTAATAGTACGTAGGAGAGGCCTGATGTAAGCTCAAAAGGCAGCTGAACCGCAACAAGGAGAATTTCCGGCCCGTAGCCATGGCTTTTAACTCTGGCGGCCGCACCTAACACTGTCTGTGTATAATAAGCACGCCGGACGTCGTCCAGCCCCAAATACAGTATCTGTATGTTGAATCTTAGCAACAGAGTCTCGTGTGTAAAACGGACAGGAAATGGGACTCCATCAGTCATCATAAACACATCGCTAAACGACCATGATCCGATGGAATACACTTAATACCCGGGTTGTGTGCAGGCGCGGTGGCAGCAGGAGAAGGCAGTCTTGTTAATCCATTGACAGTGCTCGCTACGAACTAGCACTACTTATAAACTTAGCCCTGATCGTCAATCACTGGAGGCATATCGTTTATGATCACTCCGAGTCATGGAGAACTGGTAGTTAGCCGATCAAGTCATCATTACCACATGCACGTGCACGTGGTCTAGCTTCATGGTGGTGACTGCAGTGCTTGGGCACTCTACAGTACTAGGTCTTCTTTCACCATCTGGATGTGCAGAACAAAAGTAAGCAATCTCATCAATATGAATTGTGCATGCACAAATAAACGGATACAGACCACCGCCATCAAGAAGCTTTCCAATCAACAAAAGCCATGCACAGCCTTGAAATGCGCAAAATGCTTGCAAGCCGACCAAAGGCCCGACCGTAAGCGCTGTACTACAGTGAGTGAACAACAACTGTTTCAAGTGAATGAACTGATATCGAAGCGATTTTACCATACAGCTGGGGTGCCTATGTAGATGTCCGCGATTCATCGGTATAACAACTCAACGACTGCAGAGGGGCGAACAACACCCGGTGAAGATGTGTACCAGATCGCAGACTATGATCAAGTTGGTCAAAACACTTCTGAATTCGCAAACAGAGCTAATGATACGCCCACAACAGGAAGGACAAGGGGTTAACAGCAGCTGATGCTACACCTTTAATCTTGATGGCTTCCACTCGAAGGAGCTCTACTAGCTCTACTGATACAGGCGATGTATCAAGCATGAGTTCTAACAGTGATAAGAATGAGACGGAAGGCGAGACACCGAAGGCAAGGGACCTACAAACGTATTCCATCCCCGGGTGCCTGCTTGTTGCTGGTGCAATGCCATTGACGATAACACTTCAGCGCTAATGATCGAAGTCGCGTACGTAGCGGTATACTATTGGCATGTTTACAAATACCACATACAACTTACAAATGACAGCTCGAGAATATATCTCTTTCTAACTCTTCGCCGGACTCGCCCTTAATATACACTCTTATAACCCATCCACCACTGCGGCCCATGCCTAACCATCTTGGCGATGTAGTCCATCTGTTCCTGAATAGGACGCTCTCCAAAGGAGTTTTCTACATCTGAGCACACAGCGAGCACGTAGACTGTATCAATTCGAATGGCCAGAAGTTCTTCGTCAGAAAGCATGTCATCATAGTCGTCATCATACACAGCGATTCACTCGGCAGGCACCGAGCCACCCTTGGGATTCAAGCAAGTGACAGGGTCTAAATTGTTGATGCCCGTTAGATCAACAACTTATTCGTATGCTCGTGAGATGGCAGTGTCTTCATAGCCCCTGTCACAGCGATCGGGCAATGCTTCTGGGCAGTATTGCTCCCCAGACCGGACAAGCCATTCATGAGAGATCGCGTATCCGTAAAACTGGACATGAGGCTGCTTCTTCGGACGAACAAGTTTAATTGGTCGTTGCCTGATCGAATCCGGGGTCGAGATCTAGTAGGACCATTAGAGAATATGTATATTATGAGAGTAGAACTACCTTTAGTGCATCAAACGACTTGGAGAGTAGAGAGGACATGTTGATGAAGATCTAAGATAATTGATGGTAACTACAATTGGGTGTGAGGTTATTCAATATATAGCTCGCTGTGGACTGACTTTATCAATTGTTTATCAATGGGATGACTATCTTACGGTATTACCACCGTTCGACCGTCAACCAGTGCTAGTACAGGAATTGGACTGAGGGAGGAAGGTCATAATAGAATTTGAGGTAAAAACCTCACAGCGTATAAGCGTATACAGGAGCGACAAGTAGACAGGCCATAAGAGAATGATCGGAAGCAGGAGTTGGGGACTTGATGCGCACGCACCGCTACCGATTTGTAAGTACAGGTTTCGACAGCAAATTTTGCTTTTGATATTCTGACTTGAATTTGTGATGCCTCAGGGCCCTAGTTTATTGGTCCCCTGTTCCTCTAGAACACTTTCAAGCATGTATGGTGACGTCGCTAAGTATTAACTCCCTGCTTAGTCTTCCTCAATACCGTGTGACACTTAATCCTGCTCAAAAACGATTTAATATTTCGTTGACATTAGCAAGGGTAGTCTCGAGCACACTACCTATTATGTCACAGTTAATATCATGCTACTGGTTCATGTGTGTCCATCTCGACTATGATGATGCGGCTATAATCACCAGAGACAGCTCTCCACCTTACCCTACTGAGCTCAGACGGGTTAAATAACCAATCTTGATTAATTTTCAACTTCCCAGCGAGGGAGCGAATGCTGAGCATAAGCCGAGACACTGCAACTGCACTGATCGCTAACTGTGAGCTAAATAAATACGCTGCTCAGCAAACATTGATGAAATATGCGAGTAGAAAAATTCACTTTGACCAAGTTGCTGGCCCGTTTATCTGTAAGCTCCGGGTATTAGGCGCCACGCAAGCGAAGAGAAAGGTAGTTGACATACGACAGGATCTGTGGTTAAACGAGCACCGACTACGGAAAATGTGGCCGAGGCTGTGTACTAATTAGCGCGCTGATTGGTGCATGGAATACTCATCATTTACCCATCGAGACGAAGAAGACAAGACCACCACTGAATAATTGGTAAGCGTGCTGAGGGATACCGCTCACAGAATGGGACTCACTCTCGTATCAGACGTTGCATCAATTGATCCATCTGTAAGTCACGGGAGACCTTCACGACTCGTGCGATCGTGAATCCAAACAAAATTGTGTGAATGATAGTACTTGGAACGAAAACTGTCCATATCATCGATGGGGCAGGTGCAGAACATCCTGGAATGGCTGTTATCTTCCGCTGAAGTTGCAGAGACTCCGTGGTTGACTTCAGGAACGAGAGACTCAAGCCCATCGTTATGAGGGATGATAAAGCGCATCCCGCGTAGCTGAAACATGCAACCGCCCGTGCAATGGCACTATGAGAGTACATATACCACACGCGGAGGAAGAGAATTCCTGTTATTGTGATGTTTCAGCCAATCTACGATAGTTCGTATGAGATCACCGAGACCTTGATTGATGCAGATTACGATGATAGAAAGTTCAAATGCAGCGCGAATCCAACGAGTGCATCTTAAACAATGATTAGTTTATATGGGCCATTGACGAGGATACATTCAGCCTTACAACTAAGAATCATTGATTGTGATATGACTTAGTGAGCGCATTCAATAATAGACAACGAACTACCAAACCTGAGCTGATATTTCGGCTCCAAACAGCGCTAAGGAATTCGATCGTTTCATCGAATAATTGAAGCCAAGAATCACGATACTCACCAGCATTCGTTGGTCTTGGATGTCCGGGACCAGGTAAATGTCAGAACGACCCCTGAGCGGCAGTTGATTGGACCTACATCATGACGACAAATGGAAGATATCGATTCTAAAGCAGCTTCGTTAGATAAGGGCTCACTCCAGAGAGACAATAAAGCCGCGCCCACCAAGAAAAACAGAACACGCGATATGCTCCATGGACCCGACCAGAAGTATTCAACCTGAGACGCAAACATGATGGAGGGTAAGTCTTGACAATACTATGAGCCGCTACACACCTCTTCTCCGAAGGTAGTCAGTAGGTCGTAAACCAGAAGTGTGAAGCATGCTATTTCTAGATAATGAGCACTCTGGAATGCACTCATATCATCAACGAGCTGAAATGGTGTCCCAACAGAGTTGCTCATCATCATTATCGTGGGCATCGAGAAGCTGTCATGTCTACCTTATGAGCATGACCGTTAGACGCCAAGCACTGATGCCGTTGACATGCCGATGCATCATTGGCACATTGCATAGGAGATACGAGAAAGGAAAAAATCACTGATGCCGGGCCAGTCAACCCGATCCTGTGCGTTGTTCAGGACCTCGTCAGATGAAAATGGTGCTTATTAGGTGCCGATCAGTTGAAAATATGACCATGTAAAAGCACCGCGATCAGCATAATCGCAAGTGAGAACTTACTGATTGGCGCTTACATGCAAACTGACACGTTTCACCTAGGCTTCCACTGGAAGCTTATTCACGGCGCACGCCTTCAGGTGGTTTCAAGATATCCATTGTGACTAGGAGATCCAGTAGAAACCGGACTCGGCGCAATACTAATGATAGCTCTCTAGATAAGGAATCCCCGAGAGCCAAACCGAAGCCCTTGCGGTCTCATACTGCACTACGTGACTAAATTTAAAAACACAGCGTTAGTTGACAAGTCCCATCTACTTAGTAAGTGTGGCACACACCCAGTTTGGTTTAGGTAGCACGGGCAGTGCGGCAGCGCCCTAGACAGCCATACCGACTTGTCCCACAATAGGCTTTAACTGAGTTCCATTTCTCTGCGTAGATTAGTGATTCACGAATGAGATCTATGAGCAGAGCCATATTTGCCATCACCCGGTGTCAAGAAGCAACGTGACTGTCGGTGTTTGAAAATCATTGCCCAAGCATATCAAAGCATATCATCATATTGCTATACACGTGTCGTCTTCTGATTAAAGCTTCCTTGTAGAGGTAATCATATCTGGCCGGCGCTCGAGCTTCCGTGTGCAGACTTTGCCGCGTTGGTGTTATATCTAGTCGTTGCTATAGTTGAGAACGTACATAGCTATGCTTTTGACGAGGTATGTCCTGGTATGTTCTCACGTAGTGTCAACGTAGCTCACAGCCAAGGCAGTAGCTGCCCGTTCCGATCCCCAGGCGTTTGGCCGAAGGGGGTGGGATGATGGTCTGTGTGGGCATTGAGTCATCGAGGCTGTGGTTCGGGAAGTCGACATCGGTCGCCGGGACTCTCAATCCGCTGGAACGATGACATGACGATCTGGTTTTGACTGGCTCGAGAGTCGCTGATATGAACTATTAGGCTGAGAGGAAAAATGAATGAATGAAGCTCTCGTGGTCAGTTTGGAACTATGTGTTCGTTCATCTCCGTTCACCTTCGCTTTCCAGGCTGCATTGATGGCGCGAATATGCAAATGCTGACTCAGAGTGCAGATGCTTAAGCAAACCATAGTGTAAAAATTTGAGGTGAGTTCTTGCAAGTTGTTGAAATTCAGCGGAGTGCGACGTTCAACAACTCGTTTATAAAGTCTTCAGGTTGCCAAAATATGTTGGTCTTTGTTCTTGTCCATCCGTTACCTGTTGTCCGATACAAACTTCAACCCCGGCCCAGGGGTGATCATTGATATCATCGATCACTTGATCACTCGTAGAGTCTTGGAAAACTGTTCGCAACTCCACTATTCGGAAATTTCAACCTGTCATAAGGATTCCTTGGTATGGTGTGGAACAGGCATCCAGCACGACGTACTATGTTGTTATCAAGAATTGATTTTCATGGAGACGTGAACATTCAGGTGACCATCGGCTTCCGCTATCTGCTGTCCTTGCTTATATATAGGTGCGCAGATATGACTTTTGCTGTTACTCTCGTACGTACTCACCCTTTTCTTTTATGTACTCGATTACTTGTTACATGCCTCATACAAATTCACCTTTGATTCTCAGTCTCAATCAGTGTATTAATTCCTCTTGAATAACGTCTCAGTCTTTTCAGCCAAAATCAAAGTGAGCTCTCTTATTTACGATTCCACGTCCACTTTCCCCCTTTCCCGTTCCTAGTGCGAGCCTCTTCATTCGTAAGAAATCCAACTTGAACTTGATATCAATGTTTGAGGCGCCTTCACTCCCCTTTCCGTCTAATGAACAAGCGCACATGTACGTATCTGCCCTTGAAGCTTGACACTTGAGTGTCTCTTGGGGTTTAATCGCGGGCGATGATCAACCAGACGAATCAATAATTTGGCCCCACTTGCATTCTTCCTGCGTCACTCGAAGAGCAATAAGCGAGTCATTTTCGACCTAGGAATCCTCAGAGACATAAAAGAATTTGCGCCTGCTGCAACGGAGTAATTATTGCCTGACGTGACGCGGACGGTGGCAGAGTCTTTGGAGTCTGGTGGAGTTGCTTCTTCATCGGTCGACTTGGTGTCTAAGTCACCTCCATCGGGATCATTGAGCCGTTCAGCGTCTGATGTGACTAAAATAACCTAATCTGTCTTGTCTCAGTGTCGGAGATCCCTCCTCATTTACGAGTGCCGAGTTTGTCCTCGGGGAAGGATCGAAGAAAGCTTTGGGTCTAGAGGCTGGTTCCTCCCTCAGTCCTATATTCTTTTCATCCACTCGTCTACTGGAAGACCATCTACACTTCATCACAGCTTCTGACCTAAACGTAGCAATCGGTCCCCACCCGCGCAATGGACTTTTTCGGGGATGGCAGCATGTATATCATTGATGCACCAGATTCTTCTCTGCTTCGTGCATGAGATTGGAAGGAATGGTTAGGCTTCTTCTTCATTGCAGGGCACGTTGATGGGCATATCAATATCCTTGCGCGTACATCCACAGACGGTGCTTGGATCTTACTAGGTGAAGATTCAGCTCATCACCCTTATCCGATCGCTGGAAAGATGTAAGTTGTGTACCATGCCGACGTGGGTGGCGTGGTGACATGTGTCCATGACTACAAGGAAGTCGCGGAGGGGAGTCATGCCAGGATAGCTGTCATGCATTTATTACAGGACAGGACGAGTGATTGCAGACTTCACTATATGTACGACATACTACACATTTAACCCACTACTACAGCTTTACCCAACGTGATAAAATCTTAACCGAACACCGCCACCTTGACCAACGAGTGCTACAAGAGATATCTAAAGCCTTTGAGCAGCCCCAGAGCCTGCTCTTCGGCTTCAGCAGCTTCATTGCACTGGGAAAGGTGCCTCCTAAATACCCAAAACATCACAATAGACATGGTGCTCGTCAAGGTGCACATGACGTATGAGTTCGCGTATGAAGGCCCCCAACGGGACGGCCAAAAGTACCTGCGAGGCTTTAGCGGCACCAGAGTGAGAGGAAGCTGTGAACTGACGATGAACCGATGTAGCCAAGTGATGACATGGCATTGACTAATGCGATGGCTGCAGCGCGTTTCGACTGTGATCGGGAAAATGTGTTCATAACCCAGGTCAAAGACACAATGTGTGCAACTGGGGCTTGAGCCATAAAGAATCTTCACAGAGAACATCAAGGTTGTGGAATTGCAGGACGAGGAGAAGTTTCGTACAGGGACAAATATCGAACGGCCGTATTCATGGTAGAAAATGCAATCATGAACCCAAGGATGGCGACAAATAGAGGACCAGCGGTATGCCAGAAGCGATCGCCAGTAGCATCGGAGTGCCTTGATTATTGTTAATTCACCAATCGAGACTGTCGAGTAGATACTGACCTAGCTACAAGGAACGATGTTGCAGTTCCCAAAATCCACGGAGGTGCACAGAGCAAGAGGGTTATGGTCGAATTGTAACCCATTGTAGCAGATAGTGTCGGGAAAAAAATGCGGAACGACAAAGAAGCGTCCATCAAAATAAGAGCACCACCAAGCCACCATACCCTCCAATCTGTAAGTGCCTCAACAAGGCCAGACCAACCCTCCACAGACGTGCCTTCATGCTCATTCTCGACCACAACTTCCTCCTCCATCCGTCGCTTAGCCAGGGTCCGTTCATCAGGTAAAAGCCAAACACTCGGCGATGATGGGAAATCTGGCAAAATCCAGATTGCAGACACTGCAACCACAATTGTCAAGATCCCCTCGATAAAGAAGAGCCACCTGTGGCAGCACCGTCAGAGCGGTTCTACTTTGAGAGCATGCTTATTTCGCCTCTGACCTCCAACCCGTAAAACCTAGTGTACCATCTAGGCCTGCCAAAATTCCTGACGCTATAAGAGCACTGAAAGCATTACTGATTGAGCTGCCGCAAGCAAGAAGCGCTGTGCGGAACCCTAGCTCATTGCGCTTGTACCTAGAGAAATTTCAGAATACACTGTTCGGAGGTATTGGGCAACTATACCATCGTGAAAGAAGGAAAATAGCCCCAGGGAAAAACGCCGCCTCGACAAATCCAAGCATGAGGCGCAAGATAAGAATGGTATGATACCTGATTAAAGTAGCGTTAACTCAAGAGCAGCAAAAGTAATACATACTGACGTTTGTGCTACGCCTTCTCATGACCCTCGTCAGGTAATATCGATCAAGTGAATGATGTACGTACCCATGAACATAGTGATAGCACCCCATATTGCCATGCAGCTTGAGAGGTACAGCGATGGCCTCGTCATGCGATCTAAGAACATGTTGCTTTTGAATTCTCGGATGGGCTACAGAAGGATAGCGTGCTGGAACATACGAAGGAGTCTGCGTCAACAAATACCCCACGTAAAAGATGCTCATGAGTGTGTTAAACTGATTCCCCGTCATATCGAGGTCTTCCTCAAGACCACGCAGCCTTGCCGCACTATCTTGACCGAGAGGTAATTAAGCCACACTACAATCGTTAGTTCCAAGGGCCACATACGCTGCATTAGTCCGGTCCATCTAAGCACAAATTAATGCAATAGCGGAAACACTAAATATACCAACTCACACAGCTCATAATGTAAATCAGAACTAGGAAGGCAACTCGAAGGTCTAACTTACGGAGAAGCCTCTTCTCCACCATCTGTCTGTTCTGTTCATCGTATTCAGGAAGCACTGGACTACCACTGCTTCTGTCAGAGGCACCATAGTGGGAATGTTTGCCTGCACCGAGCAAGGGGTGATCTGACATTCCTATGGAGTATGGACGAAAGAGACGCTGAGCAGCAGATTCCCGCTAGCCTGTCAGCATACCGGTATATGGGTTTATATCGGATGCCCTCAGGTTCCGATTCATACTTCGGAGCCTATGCGACTCCCAAGCTACTACATATATATCATATGCCGTATTAACGAAAATAATCCTGCAGTCAGTTACACAATGGGAAGATCGGTTATGGCAAGGGACCGGCCGAGCCGAACAAGGAGTCAACTAACACTTTCTTTGGCAAAACGAGCGGTCGACCGTTTTTCTAACCCCAGGTTACGCTTGAACTGATAGCACGAATGAGTCAATGACTCTGTCTTCCTTCCACATGAAGTTTCTGGACGGATGGACTCGTCGGACATGTCACTAGCGCAGCGCGCTGAGGACATGTAACTGATGATTTGTGTATGGCGTGTTGTGGCTAGTTCAACACCACATCATGCAATTCAGTACTGGCAAAGTCCTCTAGAAGTTCTACCCTCGCGTTTCTCATCGATCATCGATATCTTGGTTGACTGCCAGAATCAACCACCTTTTGTCCGACATCGCCTTCACAGTCATGTACAGCCAGGACGTAATCTACTTCGTCGATTCATTAATTCGTCAGTGTACAACGGGCCCGGCCCGCGTGACTTTGTGTTGTCAAGATTTGAACTTTGTGGAGTTACTGAGGGTGCCACCGTCTGCTTTCTGTTGAAGTCCGAACGATCCGAAGAGAAAGAGAGTGAGGAAGCCGAAGGATCCGACATGATAGGTACGAGCGAGAGAGAGAGGTCCGAGCGCATGAGGCAGACGGGCCAATAGGCTGCGCCCAAATGACATCGGCTTGCGCCCTGCAATATACATATGTCAGAAAATTTCACCTTTGCGTTCCTTACTTACCTTCCTATAAAACCAAGCGCCCATCAGACGCGCACATCTCAGTTCTAGTTGAAACTGAGATGTGAGTACTTGGAAACATGTATGTCAGCATTTACTGACCAAAACCGTAGCGTACCTTTGTGTTCTAGGTACTATACACGTTAATATGAGTTCTAGTTGAAACTGAGATCGTACCTTTGTGTTCTAGCTCCCTCTCCCGTCGTTCGCTCGCCTGTTCTCGCAACACTTTCCTCGCTAATATATGGGCACGTTCGAATCCTGGTTTTGATTCATTATTGAACTTGATACCAATGTCGACAGATGCGCATTCACTTCCTCCTCCATTTGATGAACAGGCGTATACGTATGTATCTGCCCTTGAAGCTGGACACCTCAATGTTTCTTTGAGTCTAATGGCAGCCGATCAATCGGACGATCCCATAATTTTTCCCTCACTCGCATTTTTACTGCGTCATTCGAAAGCAATAAGCGGATTGTGTTCGACCTAGAAATATCAAAGAGTTTGCACGTGCTGCAATACCAGTAGTGCCTGATGTGAAGCAGACTGCGGCAGAGTCTTTGGAGAGTAGTGGAATTCCCCCTTCATCAGTTGACCTGGTAGTCTTAAGTCACCTCCATTGGGATCAGTGAGCCGTTCCAAGTCAGCATATGAATTGCCTAACCTGTCTTCCCTCAGCGTCGGAGATCCCTCCCCGTTAACAACTGCCGAGTTCATCCTCGGGGAAGGATCGAAGCAAGCTTTTCCAGACCCTGCCACAGTGCTATAGCCTTTTCATACATTCGTCCACCGCAAGACCGTTTACACTTCGTTACAGCTTCTGATCTAAACGTGGAAATCGGTCCTACCCGCGCGTAATAGACATGTTCGGCGATGGCGGCATGTATATCGTTGATGCACCTGGTACTGCTCTACTACATGCATAAGACTGGAAAAAGTCGCTTAGGCTTGTTTTACTGCAGGGCACGCTAACGGGTATATCAACATGCTCGCACGCACTTCTCCAGACGGTGCTTGGATTCTGCTAGGTGCAGATTCAGTTCATCACCCTGATCTGATCACTGGGAAGATGCAAATTTCGTCCCGCGTTGATGTGAAAACGGGCGCGGTGACATGTGCCCACCAGTACAAAGAGGCTGCGGAGAAAAGCATACACAGAATGAGGTCGTTGTTAGAGATCCCGAGGGTGCAGGTTCTGGTAGTACATGATATAGTTTGGTACGAAGAAAATAAGAAGTCTTCTTACCGCACACAATACCACCACTTGTACAATGGTGGACGCCGTAGGAGTCATGCCAAGGTAAATGCCATGCATTTATTACAATACAATATAAGTGGTTGCATACATTCTCCACTACACCCGACGTAGTTGATAATCTAGAAGAGCGTGACTCGAACAGTGCATTAATGCGTTTTAGTGCTTTGTGTACAGTATATATGTTAATAGCCATACCCACTCCTATAGTTCCCGCTACTGAACATGGCTGCAATCCTGAAGACAGCTGAGCAGCAACTCGGAGTGCTAGAGGAGATATCTCAAACCCTTGGGCAGCCCTAGAGATTGCTCTTCGGCTTCAGCAGCTTCATTACACCGGGAAAGGTGCCTCCTAAACACCCATAACATCGCAATGCATACGACACTCGCCAAGATGCAAATGAGGTACGAGTTCACGTATGAAGGTCCCCAACTGGATGGCCAGAAGTACCTGTGACGGCGTTAGTGGTAGCATATAGCACAAGGTCACTGTGAACTGACGATGAACTAATGTGGCTAGCTGATGACATGGAGTTTATGAGTGCGATGGCTGCTGCACGTTTTGACTGTGACTGGGAAAACGTATTCATGACCCAGGTCAAACAGACAACATAGGCGACTGGGCTCTGAGTCATCAAGAATCTTAACGGTGCACGTAAGTCATTGGAATCGCAGAACGAGGATAAGAGAGTTCGTACAGAGATATATATCGCATAGTCGTATTCATAGTAGAAATTGCGAGTATAAATCCAGCGATGGCGACGAGTAGAGGACCAACAATATGCCAGAAGCGATCACCAGTTACGTCGGAGTGCCTTAACTCAGTATTGTTAATTCATGTATCGAACCTGTGAAGTAAATACTGACCTGGCCACAACAAATGAGGTTGCAGTTCCCAAAATCCACGGAGGTGCGCAGAGCAAGAGGCTTGTAGTGGCGCTGTAACCCATTGTAGCTGATAGGGTCGGGAAAAAAAGGCCGAATGATTGCGAGGAACTCATCAAGTTAAGGGAAGCACCAACCCACCATACCCTCCAATCCGTAAGAGCCTCGACGAGACCAGAATAATATTCTTCAGGTTTACTTTTGTGCTCATTGTCGCCCGCGACGTCCTCCTCCATCCGTTGCTTGGCCAGGATCTGTTCGTTAGGCAAAAGCCAGAGGTTCGGCGTTGAAGGAAAATCAGGTAAAATCCAGCCTGCAGACACTGCGACCACGATGGTCAAAGCGCCCTCTACAAAAAAGAGCCACCTGCAGCAGCAAAATCAGAACAGCCTGACTTCTTAAAAGCACGCGCATTTAGGCTCAGACCTCCAAGCCGTAAAACCTAGTGTACCATCTAGGCTTCCCAAGATACCTGATGCGAAAAGAGCACCAAAAGCATTACTGATCGTGGCGCCACAAGTAAGAAGTGCTGTGCGTAATCCTAGTTCATTGCCCTTGTACCTAGAGGAATTTCAGTATATGCTGTTTGGAGTCATTAGGCAATGATACCATCGTGAAATAAGGAATACAGCTCCGGGAAAGAATGCCGCCTCCACAAATCCAATGAAGAAGCGCAAAATAAGAGCTGCATGGTATCTAGAGTAGGGTCAACAGTGGACAGCATTAAAAAGTCTAGATACCAACGTTTGAACCGCACCTTTCATGACCCCTCATTAAGCAATGTCGATCAAGTGAACGTTGTACGTACCCATCAACACGGTGAGAACACCCCATATCGCCATGCAGCTCGAGAGGTATAGTGATGGCCTCTTCATGTGGTGTAAGATCATGTTACTTTTCAATTGTTAGATACGCTGCAAAGTGATCAAGTGCCGGAACATACGAAGGAGCCTGCGTTAACAAATATCCCACAAAAAAGATGCTGGTAAGTGTGTTGAATTGGTTCCCCGTCATGCCAAGGTCCTCCTCGTAACCACGCAGCCTCGCTGCACTTGCAAGTGGACGGTTAAGCAATTCTACTCCAAGTAAATTCGAAGGCCACGTACGCTGCATTAGTGCGGTCCATCTGTGAACAAATTTTAGGCAGTCAAGGGAGCATTAGGTGCCTCAGCTCACAAAGTTCAGAATGTAAACCAGAACCAAGAAGGCTACCCGGAGGTCCAACTTACGAAGAAGCCTCTTCTCCACAGTTGATCTGTCGATGTAATCCAAAGCCAGCGTTGAATTGTCATCGCTGCTTCTGCCAGAAATTTCGTATTGGGAACTGTAGTCGACCGTAGCAAGCAGAGGACGATATGATATTTCTGAGGATGAAAGAATCAGTGGTTTCCATCTCGGCAACCAACTACCAATATATGCGTAGAGTCTTCCGAGTTCAATCATGATAATGTCAAGACTACCAAATTGAAGGTCAAGTTTGACGGCGGTCGCCCCGGAAGCCACTATGTTGGTTACGTACCATCTACGTTAGGCAAGTGCCAGGAATCCGTAGTCATTCATCATGGTTTGATCATGGCCCTGCAACTTGGAATTAAGTACTAAACCGCCCTCACGCCCACAGCATCAGGGTTATCAATATTTAGGAGAGGTTTATATGTTGTACGAAAAGCGAAGAAAATATTTGAAATTTAAGCTAACATAAATCTGGGTACACAACTTCAAAATCTGGTGCTGTTTTGCATGTAATGAGCCTAACAGCGATATAATACATTTACATGCCTAGTGCGACGACGGGCAAATGAGAACTGAGGCGAGGAGCTCCTAACTGCCCATGCGCACTAGGAAATAGAAAGAATATCCGCTAGAAACAGAGATTGCTCAGCCTGCTGCATCATGCCGAGAGCGCCCTCCGGGAGCGCGTGCCACAACAGCAAAGGGATTAAGCCCGCACGTAGGAACTCGAAAGTATTGACCAATTAGACTTGTGTAAAGGAAGATTAAACTCGAGTATACAATGGATGTCAAGTTTCCGTAGGCTGATATATTCTGATTAGAATGTACCGGAGTCTATCCAGCAGCTGCTTCTCGACGAAGACAAGGCTTAACTTTTCGGTGGTGATGAAAGAGTTCAGGTCCTCGCTGCTGTTATCATTACAGGGAGTGAGGTATCATGACAAGAGCGCTTTGACACTCGGCACCCACATCGTTTTTTCCTTTACCGACCGCAACTGCTTCCAAATCCTCGCATCAACACTCCATGGCAGGTACTACACTGGATAGCCAAAATGACAGAGCCTTCATCACTACAATGGGTGTTGATGCATCCACTTTCTCCTCACTACTTACTGCAGGCTTTGCGCAAGCCTGGTATGAAATGCGATGATGCCTCTGCGCATGGAAATCCACGGATAGATAAATGCTTCCTTGATGCCGGATGTGTACACAATAACCTACCACTATGAACTGACGCAAATTGCGCGGCTCGAAATGGTTGGCGCCTGAAGTCAATGTGCTGGCCATGCTTCTAACGTTCGGCCCCGCCTCTGCCAAAAGGTAAGACACCCATCCCCTTCTCACACTCTTCTCGTTTTCCTCCATCATTTTATTTACATTGATCTACGACCACTCACAGTGAGTGAAGACCGTAGGCCAGATTCTCCGCCAGGAGCCTCCAGATCCAGCTGGGCAAATGTTGCTGAAAGCTCGGTATGTGATCTCTGAAATTCATCGCTGCCCTTATGCATTCTTTGTCCAGAACCAACCTCGTAGAAGAATCTGTCAGTCCCTGTGGAAATTGAAGAATGCGTTAACCAAAAAACTTCCTGTGCGTAAATGTGAATACTGATTGTCCTGAATATGGCTGAGATTGTACAGAAACGCTTCAAGCGAACAAGCAATCATACCACTGCAGTCGAGAACGTTGAAATTGAAGGGGCTTCGTCGAGTCAGAAAGTCGAGGTAAGTGCTTGAACTTGCTATCCTGGTCCTTCAGTTTTCTCAGAGGCGCCTAGGACACGATGCATCTTCATGCTTCGAACGACAGCAAGCATCCCACCACATCTGAGATTCCTAGCGACTCTATGAACCAAGGGCTGTTCGGAGAGCCTACTTCACAGGTATTTTCGTCAAATACTTTGACTCTCATCTCTAATTTTGACGGTCCCACAGGTTCAGGCTGCCCCTTCTGGTGAGGAGGAAGAGCCTGATTCCCAATTAGTTGATACTGAACTTCAGGATGCCTGTGATGGTACAGAAACTATGAGACTACTCGGGGGACATGGGGCTTCTATGACATCCGCTGCCAACAATGCCCCAGCGGGTCTCGCCGCTGCGGATGATTTTGAGACAACGTATCTTCAACCCCTAAAGATTATCGATGCCGTCCTTGAGAAGATCGCGGATGTATGGGCCATTCTTGTTGATGGGAAATGAACTAATCAAGTGGTATAGGTACACCCGTACGCAAAGATGGCGCTGGGTGTGCTATCTGCTGCATCCAAAGTATGTCTGGTTTCTCCCGAAGTACAATCTCCTATTCAGAAGTCGTAATTCCATGCAGATTATAATCGCTCAGGCAGAGCGCGACAAATCAATCTGTAGTCTTCTCAAGAAATTGGCTGAAGTTTACTGCTTCATGACTCAAGATGACAGCCTTGTCAAAATCGAATCGATGCGCGGTATCGTTGGAAATATCGTTCAG